AGCCAACAAGACTGGAGAACACACTGGACCTTATTTTCACAAATAATGAGGACCTGGTAAGGAATATAACAGTATCAAAAACAACAAATTCTGGTCACAATCTAATAGAAGTCCAGACTTGCATGCACAGGAGTCCTGATCGGCAAGATGCATACAATTATGAGAGTACCTTTACCGAACCTCTGTAATCTTTTGACTACCGCCCACAGGATGGGTATGGGGTGTGTGCCTTTACCGAATTCAACTTCAGTAACAAGAACATCATCTGGGATTAGGTAAACAATGCCCTAAATGAAACATGCTGGGAGGATATCTTAAATTACATGGACCCTAATCAATGCCTCGAGAAGATCACCCTCCTGGTAGCTGAAGTATGTTCAAGGTAAGTAAAGTAAGGAAAGTAAACTGGAGAGAGAGAGACGCTCCCTCTACAGGAGAAGATGAAGAATCATCGAGCTCCTCAAGAATGCCAGATTTTCTGATACAGGGAAGGAAGTGCTAACCAGGGAAGTGGAAAATATTGAGTTGAAGTTAAAGGACTCATGCAGGATCCAGGAGAGACAAGAGGAGCTAAAAGCGATTAATGAAATTGAAAGAAATTCGAAATGTTTCCTTCCATATGCCAAAAACAAGTCAAAAACCACTTCTAGTATAGGGCCCCTGCTGAGACAAGACAGATCCTACACAGACGACAACAAAGAAATGAGCGAGATACTGAAATTGCAGTATGACTCAGTGTTCAGCGAGCCACTAACCAGTTTAAAGATAGACAATCCAAACAATTTTTTCATGAATGAGCCTCAAAACCCTGCCAATGTAGGCCAGATTTATGACATAACCTTAACTCCACTAGACTTTGAGAAAGCCGTCGACGACATGCCCATGCACTCAGCCCCAGGCCCAGACTCGTGGAACTCGGTGTTTTATTTAAACTACAAAAAACCCTCTCACGGGCCCCAAGTATGCTATGGAGAAGGAGCTTAGACACAGGCGAGATTCCACAGTCACTAAAAACAGCAGATATAGCCCCACTCCATAAAGGCGGCAACAAAGCAGTAGCTAAGAACTATAGACCAATAGCTTTAACGTCCCACATCATAAAAATCTTCGAAATAGTTCTAAGAAGCAGGATAGCAAACCACCTGGACTCCCAAAAATTGCACAACCCAGGGCAACATGGTTTCAGAGCAGGGTCGCTCCTGCCTTTCGCAACTGCTTTCCACTATGATATGGTCCTAGATGCACTGGAAAACAAACAGAATGCGGATGTAGTATACGCAGACTTTGCAAAAGCCTTTGACAAGTGCGACAAGGGTGTAACAGCACACAAAATGCGTGCTAAAGGGATAACCGGCAAAGTAGGCAGATGGATCTTCAACTTTCTAACCAATAGCACACAAAGAGTAGTGGTAAACAGAGTTAAATCAGATGCTGCCATAGTGAAGAGCTCTGTCCCACAAGGCACAGTACTCGCACCTATCCTGTTCCTTATTGTCATATCAGACAGACAGAGATGTAAACCACAGCACTATATCATCTTTTGCAGACGATACTAGGATCTGCATGACAATGTCATCCGTTGAGGAGACAGCAAAGCCCCAAGAAGATATAAACCAAGTTTTCCAATGGGCAACAGAGAACAATATGATGTTCATTGAAGACAAATTCCAACTACTCCGCTATGGAAAACTGGAGGAAATAATAACTAGGACTGAGTATACTACAAACTCCAATCACACAATAGACAGAAAAGTAATGTGAAAGACCTGGGTGTGGTAATGTCCGAAGACCTCACATTCAAGAACCACAACAATGCCGCTATCACATCTTCTAGGAAACTGATAGGATGGATAATGAGAACATTCAAGACAAGAGATGCTAAGCCAGTGATGATCCTTTTTAAATAACTTATTCTCTCTAGGCCAGAATACTGCTGTACATTAACATCCCCATTCAAGGCAGGTGAAATTGCAGAACTAGAGAGTGTACAGAGAACCTTTACTGCACGTATAAGTTCCATCAAACACCTTAACTACTGGGAGCGCCTGGAAGCACTTGACTTGTCCTCACTAGAGCGCAGGCGAAAGAGATGTATCATAATCTACACCTGGAAGATTCTGGAGGGACTGGTCCCTAATATGCACACAGCAATCACTCCATACGAAAGCAAAAGACTTGGCAGGCGATGCAACATACCCACAGTGAAAAGTAGGGGCGTCACTGGTACACTAAGAGAAAACACAATAAGTGTCCGGGGCCCAAGACTGTTCAACAGCCTCCCACCAGCAATACGGGGCATTACGGGAAGACCCCTGGTTGTCTTCAAGAGGGAGCTGGACAGATACCTAAAGACGGTGCCGGATCAGCCGGGCTGTGGTTCATACGTTGGATTACTAGCAAGAGTCAGTGTTAAAGACTGTGTTCAAGCAGAGGTGCTGGTACACTGTCGCTCCTACTCCATGTCTCGACCATGTCACTTTGCAGAATTCGCTGCTTTCACGTGATTGGCTGTTGAACCAGCAGTTAACATAGCAGTGGAGCCTCTGGGTATCATACCTTTACCTTTAATATACCTTTGAAGAGTTTCGAGAGTCTTACTACTCTCGGAGCCCGGCCAGGGGCCAGGCTCGTCTGGTGCTAGCCTGGTTGATCAGGCTACAGGTGACTGATCACGAACGTTAAACAATGATTATCTGTGTATTTCTAGTATCCTTAATGGAGGTCCCCATTTTCTAGATTCACAGTTTAAGAACTTTGTATCACTTGTAAGCTGTAGTACGTTATAATATATTATTTATATTAATAGACTACAGTCTAACCTAACTTAGCCTGACACCCAGCCATGTAGGACACCCAGCCATGTAGGACACCCAGCCTTGTAGGACACCCAGCCTTGTAGGACAGCCAGCCATATAGGACAGCCAGCCTTGTAGGACAGCCAGCCTTGTAGGACACCCAGCCTTGTAGGACACCCAGCCATATAGGACAGCCAGCCTTGTAGGACACCCAGCCTTGTAGGACAGCCAGCCTTGTAGGACACCCAGCCTTGTAGGACATCCAGCCTTGTAGGACACCCAGCCATGTAGGACACCCAGCCTTGTAGGACAGCCAGCCTTGTAGGACAGCCAGCCTTGTAGGACATCCAGCCTTGTAGGACACCCAGCCATGTAGGACAGCCAGCCTTGTAGGACACCCAGCCATGTAGGACACCCAGCCTTGTAGGACACCCAGCCATGTAGGACACCCAGCCATGTAGGACAGCCAGCCTTGTAGGACACCCAGCCTTGTAGGACAGCCAGCCTTGTAGGACAGCCAGCCTTGTAGGACATCCAGCCTTGTAGGACACCCAGCCATGTAGGACACCCAGCCTTGTAGGATTCCCAGCCTTGTAGGACACCCAGCCGTGTAGGACACCCAGCCTTGTAGGACACCCAGCCATGTAGGACACCCAGCCATGTAGGACACCCAGCCTTGGACACCCAGCCTTGTAGGACACCCAGCCTTGTAGGACACCCAGCCATGTAGGACACCCAGCCTTGTAGGACACCCAGCCTTGTAGGACTCCCAGCCTTGTAGGACACCCAGCCGTGTAGGACACCCAGCCTTGTAGGACACCCAACCATGTAGGACACCCAGCCATGTAGGACACCCAGCCTTGGACACCCAGCCTTGTAGGACACCCAGCCATATAGGACACCCAGCCTTGTAGGACACCCAGCCTTGTAGGACAACCAGCCTTCTAGGACACCCAGCCTTGTAGGACACCCAGCCGTGTAGGACACCCAGCCTTGTAGGACACCCAGCCGTGTAGGACACCCAGCCTTGTAGGACACGCAGCCATGTAGGACACCAAGCCTTGTAGGACACCCAGCCATGTAGGACACCCACCCTTGTAGGACACCCAGCCGTGTAGGACACCCAGCCTTGTAGGACACCCAGCCATGTAGGACACCCAGCCTTGTAGAACACCCAGCCTTGTAGGACACCCAGCCATGTAGGACACCCAGCCATGTAGGACACCCAGCCTTGTAGGACACCCAGCCATGTAGGACACCCAGCCATGTAGGACACCCAGCCTTGTAGGACTCCCAGCCTTGTAGGACACCCAGCCGTGTAGGACGCCCAGCCTTGTAGGACACCTAGCCATGTAGGACACCCAGCCATGTAGGACACCCAGCCATGTAGGACACCCAGCCTTGGACACCCAGCCTTGTAGGACACCCAGCCTTGTAGGACACCCAGCCATGTAGGACACCCAGCCTTGTAGGACACCCAGCCTTGTAGGACAACCAGCCTTGTAGGACTCCCAGCCTTGTAGGACACCCAGCCGTGTAGGACACCCAGCCTTGTAGGACACCCAGCCTTGTAGGACACCCAGCCGTGTAGGACACCCAGCCTTGTAGGACACCCAGCCGTGTAGGACACCCAGCCGTGTAGGACACCCAACCTTGTAGGACACCCAGCCTTGTGGGACACCCAGCATTGTAGGACACACCCCTGGCTGCCTTCAAGAGAGAGCTGGACAGATACCTAAAGTCAGTGCCGGATCAGCCGGGCTGTGGCTCGTACGTTGGACTGCGTGCGGCCAGCAGTAACAGCCTAGTTGATCAGGCCGAGATCCATCGGGAGGCCTGGTCATGGACCGGGCCGCGGGGGCGTTGATCCCCGGAATAACCTCCAGGTAACCCAGCCATGTAGGACACCCAGCCTTGTAGGACACCCAGCCTTGTAGGACACCCAGCCTTGTAGGACACCCAGTCTTGTAGGACACCCAGCCGTGTAGGACACCCAGCCGTGTAGGACACCCAGCCTTGTAGGACACCCAGCCTTGTAGGACACCCAGCCTTGCAGGACACCCAGCCATGTTGTGTTGCATGTTTGAGTTGCTCATAGTGTTATCTTGGAAATAATTAACTTAGTGTTTCTAGTAACATTTGTTTGTTTTATACGACATGTGTTATGTGTGTATTAATATTTGTTTGTTAATGTGTTGCAGGTGATGCGTGGGCGCATGATCGGCGGGCGGGGCGCAGGTCGGTGGGCGTGGTGAGGTGCGGGCGTGCGGGGGTGCAGGATGGACCACAGTGTCAAGGCCATGACTCCACACCGCAAGGTGGCCTTTTCCCGGCTCTGCCGCAGGCATCGCTTTGAAAATGACGAACTGGAGGAGCTGTACCGCAGCTACACTCTCAAGCTGCAGCAGGCGAGCGTGGCAGCCGCCTCTGGCCTGCTGCTCCTGCTGTCTCTCCTGCTGGCCGCCCTACACGTCACTTATGCCCAGGTAGCAGCGCCCGCACCCATCACCCTACTGGTGCTCTCAATAGTACTTGCGGCACTCCTGGTGGCTCTACACTCGCGCTACATGCGGCACTCGTATCTCATGCCCGCCTGCTACTTGCTGCTGGCACTCGGGGCTATCCTGGTGGCCCTGGTCATGCCCGTGCCCTACACATATACATGGGTAGGCTGGCAGACGCTTCCCACTGCTGGACAAGGCGTGTGGCATGTCACTTTCGTTGCCTTTCTGGTGTACGCCCTGACGCCCGTGTCCACGCCCTTGGCCCTGGCCTATGGTGTGGCCCTGCCGGCGGGCCAGGCAGCCCTGGCCGCCACCTTGGCCGCACCCTTCACTCAGCTACACTGGCAGCAGGTAAGTCACTCAACACTCACCGTGTTGCAGGAATGACACACTTGCAACATTTGTTAATCTTTATTGATGAAAAGTTTCACCACACAGTGGCTTCATCAGTCCAATACAAAGAAAAAGGTAGAAAAAGAGGAGTTTAAGGTTCAGTCCCTGAGGGACTGATTACCTCTTCTTATGTGTATAGTTCTAGTTTTCACATTATGTCCTTGTATTGTACTGATAAAGCCACTGGATGGGTAAACACCTGCAGATAAAGGTACCCAGATGTTGCACACGCGTCTAATTCTTCATCTTGTAGGTATTGTATACCATTCATTTACAGTGAAAAATTAATTCATAGACGGATCTATACTTACCTCGTCTCACACAACATATTAAACCCTTGTCAGTTTGGATTCAGGAATAATAAAAGACAAATGACACTATCATACACATGCTAGAACTAATATATACCGCACTTGAAAAGAAAGAAGTCCCGCTGGGCATTTTCATTGATTTACGTAAAGCTTTCGATACAGTCGACCATGAACTACTGTACTCCAAATTAACGCACTATAGTATCATAGGCCACTCCCTCAACTACCTAAAATCATACCTTAGTAACAGTACTCAATATGTGTATGCAAATGATGCAAACTCTTCCACCCAACCAATCACAGTAGGAGTCCCACAAGGAAGCGTCCTTGAACCACTCCTCTTTCTCATCTACATCAATGATCTACCGAATGTATCACAGCTACTCAAACCCATATTATTTGCAGATGACTCTACATGTCTTTTCCCACCCAAACACAGTCATACTAGCAAACACAGTCAATGCCGAATTACAGAAAATATCTGCTTGGATGATGACTAACAAACTTACCCTGAACACTGATAAAACCTATTTCACTCAGTTTAGAAACAAAACTGCAAATGATCCAATTAACATAACGCTAAACGGATCATCAGTCACAAGACTCACAGAGGGAAAATTCCTAGGTATCCACCTTGACAGTAGCCTTAAGTCCCGGACACACATACAACAAATCACCAAGAAAATCTCCAAGACTGTAGGCATACTATCAAAGATAAGGTACTACATTCCACAATCAGCTCTCCTGGCACTGTACCATTCACTCATATACCCTTATCTTACATATGGAATTTTGTGCATGGGGATCAACAACATCCAATCACCTAAAACCCCTAATAACCCAGCAAAAGGCAGCAGTAAGAATGATAACAAATTCCCACTCCCACCAGCATACTCCACCAATTTTCAAAAGTCTGAATCTGCTCACCATTAAGAACATCCATACTTATTCATGTGCCTACTATACACACAACAATACACGCAAATATGAACCCTCCACTCAAACTTCTCCTCACCAACCTAAACAGGACACATGACCACAATACAAGACACAGATCTCTTTTTGATATACCTCGTGTAAAAACTCTATGGACATAAAGGGCCCCAAAATATGGAATTCATTACCAGAAGATATTAAAGTAACCCAGTCTGAAAATCAATTTAAGACTCAAAAGCCACTTAATCACCCTAGACTAAACGCTAAATACTCAGTACACACTTACTCGCCTATGTTCTCCCACATCATAACTTCAACAATCACTTTGAACCTTTTATCCATTGTTGACAGGAATATAATTTAATCATTGTTTTCACTAAAAAGCATTTTTGAATATATGAATATATCTTTTGTCTTATACAAATTTTGATTCATTTATAATTAATAATCTACTGTACAACTATGAAATAATTACTATCCTACTGTACAACTATGATATACTCCTTAGTGTTAAGTAGACTGTAAGCCAGTAATGTTAAGTTGGCCCATAGTGTCTAGGCATATTAGAGGCTCTCTCTGCATTGCAACCCACTATTGTAAATACAAAATCTCAATGTACTGTTTGCAAAGACAAAATAAACAAATAAATAAACGATGTAGATGTGTGTTACAAAATGGGACATCTAAAGCGTAGATATCTCCTGAGAAAACTAGAAGGTCAGTTCTTTGATCCCCTTCTAGCACCTAGCCTGTTTCTGGTTTTGTAACAGCTTGTTAGTTATGATTCTAGTCCAGTTATCTTGTATCGTGGGCGTCTCAGAGTGTCGCTGTGGGATCACAACTACATCAATACTAACCAAGTAAAACTTGACAACTTTAAGAATATAAAGATGTCAACCTGGAAATATTTACATTTAATGTAAACTTAATAATTAAGGACACAACTTTTGGAGTATAACCTTAGTACTTATATATATATATATATATATATATATATATATATATATATATATATATATATATATATATATATATATATATATATATATATATATATATGCAAAATAACCACTATGAAAGAGTAGTGAAATTCCAAGTGTGAACGAGATTATTTGGTGTTTCTGGTAGGGGGTGAGTGAATGATACGTCTTCGGAGGGTTCTTTATTTGCAAAGTCGTGGTGGGTACACAGGTTTGTGTGTTTGTGCCCATGGCCCGGGAGGGCCATGCCCACGAGGGAGAGAGGAGTAGGCTTGTTGTCTGACTCTAGGCCACTGAGTGAGCGAGCGAGTGGGACCAGCGTCCCACTGACCTGGGCAGGCCTAGAGAGGGCAGCACCTGAGTGCCGCAAAATATGAACTATGCTGGCAGACAGCATAGGCTGTCTGTGCAGACAGTATAGGCTGTCTACATTTGCTCGGCCACCTACCTCATGTCATCCCGACGTGACAATACTGGTAGTAAAAAAAAAACTCTGTCTCTCTCTCTCTCGTAGGAACAGGGCACAGAACACAAATTAAAACATGTTTATACATATGGATATGGAAAAAAAAACTTTCTACAGGGAGGGAAGAAAAAAAAAAACATGTGAGGGTGTGCTGAACAACGTGGTCAAAGGCAGTGAGTGTCGAAGGGCATCACTGCACGCCTTCCTGCGTCTGGACAGATACTGCAACACAGGAGACATTTCTGCTGCTGAACTGTGATGTAACAGGTTATGGTCTCCTCTAGAATGGTGAAGCAGTCATCGTAGGAGTCACTGCAGGTTTCACTCAACCTGGGGCACAGCATGCTGGTGCCCTCAAGTAAGGCGTCATCAAAACTCGGCAACTGGGCAGGACTTCTAGCAAGTGACTCAGGAGGACATTTCTCAACGGGTACTGTTGTTTGGCTGTCACTGCCGGCGAGCGTGGAGCGAGTCGTGGCAGAGATGACTGGGCGAAACATCTGGGAGTCGTAACATCATACACCAGACTACAGTGAGCAAGCTAGCCATTAAAGTGACATCATCTTTGTGCAGGAGCTCACTGAAGCTGTGACATGAGGCTGACACAGCGCCTGCCGACAGGGCTAACTGCGGCTTGACGAGTGTCATTCTCTTGGCAGTTGGAGTTATGGCAGAGGTTAGTTTAAGCGTTCCCAGGCTTGTTTCTCTACATATAACTGCACTCTGAAGGTCTGGAGGTGAAGTGAAACAAATCTCGATGGGAATCGTAGCAGGTACGATTCTGCAGAACATCTATGAGCGACGAGCATAAGAGCTTTCTGTACAATGGGCTCATATGCTCAGGGCTGACTAATATCAGCTGTCAAATGCGCTGGTCACACCGGATGACAATAACACAGTGGTGCTACACACTGGTCTGGGCTCAAGACCGCACTGGACACACGGAAAACTTTACACACACCATGTTGTACTGCATGTTGTACATGCAGTACAACATGGCTAAACTAGCAAAAGATGCTTTTCTGTGCACAAAACTGACACTAAGCCATACACTAACATGTGAGAACACTGAGAGGAATAAATTAACACACGACATATATCTTCTCTCGATCTTCTCGACAATACTGACATAATTACTGAAACACTTGATGTGACATGTGATATTGCGAGGTGACGTCAGCAGACATCTCGAGGTGATGTCAGGCAGACATTGTGACATCATGAAGTTGGGCAGCAGCATCGGTGACGTCAATGTGATGTGGGCAGCAGATCACAGCATGTGGCCTGGGATGTCTGGGTCAGTAACTCACGTAGCTCGTAGGTCCACGTGGTGTCGTCCACACCCCACATGGCATCGTGACTTGCTGATCCACGTGGCTTGCTGATCCACGTGGCTTGCTGATCCACGTGGCTTGCTGATCCACGTGGCTTAGTGATCCACGTGGCTTCAAGTGTCCTCGGGCACTCGGATACACAGCTCTGGCAAAGAATTCACACGAAAAACAGCAGAAAACACAGCAGAGGGAGTGATGGCATGGTGGTGTATGGTAGTGTGGTGGCGAGGAGCATGGGTGAGTGTATGGCGAGGGAGGATCTGGCCACTTCCTCCTCTCCCACCCACAACACGGCGAGATACTCACACTGGACTCAGAAATCACCACAAACTCACCTCTGACTTGCTGAAATAGCCATGTAGAGTTGAAACACCAACAGCAGAACATACAAGTGATGCTGAACACGTGACTTGAGAAACAGCGTTGGATGCTGTAGTGTGGGGTCACCTGGATGTCACTTACAATTCTCGAAAAAATTCGGCAGATTTCGGCTAGATCCTGCATGTACCTGTGTCTGGATGCTGAAACGTGCAGACACGACATCAGGATAACTCGTTGAGAGATGGATGTTTCTTGTGTAGGGTGATGAAGTGAAGATGACTTCATACCTCTTCCTCTCTCTGGGCAAACACAACTGCTGCGACCACCGCTTCCCACCAGTGTGAATTATTTCGTGTTTCTGGCAGCGGGTGAGTGAATGATACATCTTCGGAGGCTTCTTACTTTATTTGCAAAGTCGTGGTGGGTACATAGGCTTGTGTGTTCGTGCCCATGGCCTGGGAGGGCCATGCCCACGAGGGAGAGAGGAGTAGGCTTGTTGTCTGAGTCCAGGCTGCTAAGTGAGTGAGCGAGTGGGACCAGTGTCCCACTGACCGGGGCAGGCCTAGAGAGGGCAGCATCTGAGTGCCGTGAAATATGAGCTAAGCTGGCA